GAATTTCCACTTTGTACATTATCTTCTTAGAACCTTCCATACTTATGCTTTAAATAGTAGGCACGGCAACTTTACGAAATATTCTGAACCGACCGATGGAACAAAAGGACCGTGAAATACAGCCACACACAAAACATTCACTTTTGAATATTTTTCGCAGTTGAGATAAAATACCTTTCAATTTTCATGTTGTCCTACAAAAACAAGTAATATATACTGTATATATGAATTAACTTTTATGTTTGCGCGCGGAATTCATGATAGAATATCTTCTATACTTAATTCTTCCTCAATTTTATTTTGAAAAAAATCTTAGCAAACTTTTTTTTTATAGCTTTGACGTCTAAATTTTACTTCCAAAATCTTTTACCTATAGAGATTTTGATGCAAGATTAATCGACCCTACTTTTGCAAAAAAAGGTCTATTTAAGTGAAACGCTTTATCATTTTTGATTTGAAAAGTAGTTCAAATTATTATAATTGATCATTAACTTTTAAAAAAAAGTTTTTCTTATATGGAGCATTCCATGATTGCATATACCTCAAAGCATTTGCATCATCATTTTAATCAAATTAATCTCCAGAGATTTTCTATTAATATAGAATAAAATAAACTTAAATTTAAATATATTTTCTTATAATATAATAATATTTACCTTTTTATTAATATTAATTCATAGAACATGTTGGTGAAGTCAACTTCCATATAATAATATTACCATTTCTCGAGAATTAATGAGCATAATAAAAAATGTCGTAAAAGCAAATGCGGTCGAAATGACTTAAAGTTAATGAAACAAGCATATTAGAAATTTGAAGAAAAATAGTATAATGTGGAAGATTGTAAATGTATCATATTTAATATTAATATTATAGAAGAATCTTCTTAACCGAACACAACTGTTAAAATATTGCTATTTTTATTGCACCGCAATCATGGTATGAAAAAATAACCTGCTCTATTTGAATTTTAAGAAAGTATATAAAGAAAATAATAAATCCACTACAAGTGTTAAAAATATAATTTAAATTACAAGGTTTGAAAAAAAAAAAATTTTCAAAAAAATCATCAGTTATTTAATTTGTTAATGTATTGTCGTTGTGGGATAGTATTGATAATGACAACAAGTTACTTATCGATGTGATTATAAAGATTCCATGGAAAACCCTGCCCCTTGGAAACAAAACCGATGACCCATGTGATATGACGCGCCGGCGCATAAGGGTACCCACGTTGGCTTTACCAACTTTGTACATATGTGCCTAATTTATCCAAACGTTGAGAACAAGAGGTAACGCCCTTTGTTTATGACCTTCGAGGCAAGATGTCACCAGGCATTCAATATCATCTCCAAAAAATTTTTTAAATTCACTAGTAATAACTTTTATCCTTATAATTGCAAACTCGAATAATATATAATATAACCATTCATAATACATTTGTTTTACAAACATGATAAATTCCGACAAACAAAACCAAGCAAGACACCTTTAGTATATTAAACTTATTCTGAAGAAAACAAACCGAACCATCAAGGTGCATTTAAAGGCTATTTGATGACGTTTATTAGGAAAATGTTCAAAATATATTCAGTAAATGGTTCGTAACATCAAAAGTATGATCAAAAAGTTTTAAGAAATTGTTTTAGTGTAGATGCGAAGTTTTGGTAAGATAATAAGACAAAATACTGTAAACTGGCCATTTTCTCAAGATGCAACTGTTACTAAATCTTAATTTATTTTTTAAATATAGCTGAGCTTGGTGGTATAATTCTTTCAATTTTTTTATAAAATGCTGACAATGATGGTAACTACAACAACGTAAACATAAAGGCTATATCGTTCATGTGAAATATTCTATTATGTGGTTATAAATTTTGAAATTTCGGTTGATTCAAGATTTTTTTTTTAAATTTATTTTCTTTTGCAACATTCGTAATTTACATTAAATGAATTATAAGGTTTGCGCCTAAACCGGAATAAAAAGAATTCTAGATCTATTAAATAGAAAACATTATCTATACTTTTTATAACAGGATCTGTTAAAACTGAAAAATCATGTTACTTATTATCTATTATAAGAATTTTAAAAAAAAAGATCCTTATTTACTATTTACACTAACTGATATTATTACATAAAAATGAAGGTTATACAATACTTTTAGCCTTAAAAATTAATGTTACAGAAATTAGTTTTTACCTTCAAATATATTTTGTAAATTACATAATAATTCATAAACATTTGAGGAATAAGTGTCATAATTTTAGATCTTATTAATTATCATCAGTAAATGGAGAACTTGTATTTTACTCACCTATATGGTAATTATTTTATCCACTATTTTTAAGACAACTAAAAAGACAAATGGATAATTATCAATATTATTTACTATTAAAAGATATTAGATTTAGAAATATTTTAAATCAATATAGTAGATATTAAATAAAAAATTTCAAGAAAGTTCAAATAATTTATCATTAGAAAATATACTAAAATACAACTTAAATTGTAGGTTATAAAGAAATTGCAGAACAAATAATATTCAAATTTGTAATACTTTAATTGTAAATAAAAATATTTAATTTTATATTTAAAAAATATCATTAATAAACAAGTATAGAAACATAGAAGTTTATAATACTTAATAAAATATAAAATAAATTACCATTTTTTATAAGATTACAAATAGGATGTTGAGTAATATTTTTTAACAATAAACATATTAATAAGCAAAATTGTAATAATATTATTACAGATATTGATAAGAAAAAAGAAATAGTAAGAGTAGCATTTTGTATAAATAAAGGAATTATTAATTTGGAAATAGAACAAGAAATGACATATTTCAATATTAATGAAATTTCAGCATGAGAATTCAAGTTCTATTACAAATGCTTTTACTTTAACAGTTCATAAAATACAAGTAATAATATTAATACAGATATTTCTTTATTTAAATAATCAAATATTCAAATAAGGTCAATCATATGTAGCTTTAAGTAGATGTAAATAATATAAAAATTATAACTCTTATATTTGATGCATTTTTAGTTGATAAAAGAATCAAAAAAGAATACATTAAACTAGAAAAAATAACAGAAACTAAATTACCTATTTAAATATAAATATCAATAAAATTATTTTTGTTTAAATATAAAGATAAAACAGGTGGATGATGAAGTCATCCGCAGTAAAAAACAAATCCTAATTTTTACCTTAAAATTGAAGATATGATTACTAGCTTCAAAACTTTTCCTGACAAGGTGCTAAATATCTAAAAAAAATAAATGTCAGTCTACTAGATGAAATATATAAAATTCTGGTAGATTATTGTAATGCTGCATATAATCTGAATTTTTTAACTATTTCAAAATCTATCAAAGAAATACACGTTTTGATTATAGAATCATTGTCTAGCATCAAATCAATCAGTTTAGTTACAGTATATTAGAATTGGAACCAAAATCTTTGTATTATCAAATATACCACGAAATTTAAAGAATTCATTTGTTCTTATCAAATCGTACAAGAAAATGATTCAGTTGATACATTTTCTGGTCAGAATTAATATTTTTTGAACATAAAGTTAACCTGCCTAAAGGAAAGAAAATTCATCGATTGGCTTATATAAGATGGTTCATGCTGACATTCAAATTATCAAATAAGATTTCTTTGTAAAATTGATGATGATCTTAAAAACTGCAATATAAAAGTCTGAAAAAAGTATTTTTAAGATATCTGCAGGAATTGTATAATACAGTACATAAAATTTTTAGCTAATTTATACTTTACCGATTTAAAATTGACAAAAAAATCCAATTTTATATATGGTAATTATTCCGATGAGAAGATATTTTCATATACAATCTAATGAAAATATATTTTTAAGGATAAGCAGCAGAAGAAAGAAAATTGCATAAAAAAAACAGAAATTAGTGTGTTAAAGAGGAAAAAAATGAAGATTCTTTAAATGAATTTTAGTTTAAATGCCATTCATAGAATAAAAATTTTTTTCGAATCTTTACATGTGCGATTTTATCTTTTGAAATTATATAATATATTTATTATTTGCTAACTAAAATGAAAGTATCTGTTTGTGTACTATAAGAAACTAATTGATAATTTTGATATCATTAACAAATAACATTGCTTAAATAATAATCCCATTATTTATTAGCTAGATGCACGCTCTACTTGCGAAAACCATTTATTACTTTTATTCTGTAACAGAAGAATATAAAGTAAATATATAGGCAGTTTGATATTAATATCACGTTAAGAATCATATGATTTACTATATTTGTAACTCGATTTTAATAACAAATCTTCCGTATATTTGACATACAGTAGATTTAGGAATAATATTATATTTATATATGGTAGTCAATATATATTTCATTTGACAGAGATGATCTACTGAATCTACGCTAGAAATTTTTCTTAAAACGTTCTCAAATTTTTTAAGTAAAAATTAGACTTGCCTATTTAGGACAATATTATTTCCAGTTTTTTAATTCAAACGCAAATTTTCGAAATACCAAATAACCGTGATTTATTCACTTTAACGTTTGCTGAATATTAAACTAGCCGCATGAACAAAAAGGTTAATAAATCACGAGGAAATTTCAAATTTGATTTTACAAGTAGCGAATTTCTTTTATTTCAAATAATATAAATATCGTATCGTATCATATAAGTATTTCTGAATAAAATATCAAGTAAAAAAATATTAAAATATGAATTGAATAAAGAGTAGTTCAATCTTAATTCTGACCAAATTCTGGTCAAATTTATAGTGATTTTATCTAATCTTTTTTTTTTTTTATAAAAAAATATTAAAAAATATTATACAATAAATAAAGTGGTTAAATTTTCGATAATGTAATCTAAATTTCTAATCATTTAAATTTATTTATCTGTATTTAATAAAACGTGTCGATGTGACTTTCGTACCTATCAAAATTTTACGAATTAACATAATGCATCATTATTATGTATTTTAATAAGAATAATCTGCAATAGACACGGGATATCTCATAGTGCAATCATACATATGTCTTATGTTCATGTGGCAACTAAATACACCACACTCTTTCGGAGCATAGTAAACATGCACCCACACATCAAAATCGCTGGAAAGATCATCTAGCTCAAGTTGATGGCTCTCCCAATTATATTCCTAGCAGTTACCTCGTCTTGTACTTTTATCATCTCCAACAACTATATCACATGGATTTGATTTATCAAAGTTTTTTTGGGAAGGATCATCATTCCTATAATAAACTGTCTTCTTAATATCATTCGTGTTATTTTGAGGTAGTGTGATGGCTTTCACGAATATATAACTAACTTTATTGTTCGTGCCAAATTATTGTTACGAACCAGCGTTCCATCTGGCTTTCTTAGAATTTCTTTATCATCAATGGATATTGTCATAGTCACATCTGTTTTTTTAGTTGATGGTTAGTCCAATTAGCAAAGGCTAAGAAATTGCCATCAAGATTGTTAGAAATTTTGTATATGGTACCTTCACAGGAACCCTCGACATTGCAGGCATGCAAAATAAAGAGTAAAAACAAAGCTAAGAAAAATGAGCGCATTTTCTTTGAATAACTTCATGATAATGTTTCGATCGAGAGGAAATTTTCAGTTAAGAGGTTGCAATTTAAACCATTTAAACCGTTTCAATTATTGTGAAGGTATTATTGTTTAAACGACTTGCTTCTTCAAATAATCGTAAAGCTAAGAGTTTAATAAGTTTTATGATTTACGTGTGAAATAATAAGATTCTTTACAAAAAAAGCACTTTTTGAAAAGTGAGAATCAAATTTTTTTTTTAGATATTCTGTAGAAATCAAAGCGGTTATTTATAAATAATTGATTTTTTTTTTTGTTTAACTTTATTTGGTTTATTTTAATTATTGTATAAAATGAGCATCTTGATTCAACATTACATTTTCATATCGATATCAATAGAAATATCAATTTCAGGTGATCATTAAATACAAATTTACTACCAAAATAGAATCACAGATGAGTTATTATAAGGGGATTAGTAAAGAAACAGTAAGAAATAGAAAGAGTAAATGAAAGGTATCGAGGATAAAGTTCAATTTTTTAAAAGTAACAGTAAATAAATTTTTTTTATTGAACTAATTGTGTGATTTACTGCGGTGATTCGTGACGTGAGAATTTTTTCCTTTTATATTTTCGCACCTATTTAATCCGTACTTTATAGAAATAACAACTTTGAAAATAAATTTATTAAAGCATTAAACATTGAAAAAGTGGGTCTTCTACATTGCAACAGTTGCGCAATAAAATGCATCAGCTAATTGACGAAAATCAATGTCGCAGTAATTAATGACAAAATTATTTTTTTTTGTTTTGCGACATTAATAATTTCGAGATTAAAAGTGGTATAGCCAACAACAATATGTTCATTACTCGAGTCAAATTCTAACTCGAATTATATTAATGGAACGGGACGATCAAATTAAAATATCTGCTTTGACAAAAATATAAATGGATTCTTTTAAAATGTCGCACTTATGTAATTATTTCGTTCTATTTATTGTTAATTGTTTTTAGTTAATTAGATATTAATCATTTTCAATTTCTATTCCTTTTGAGACAAAAGACTTCGTGAAGTTTAGGCCTTATATATCACAATAAAAACGCCCTCGTATACACATCCTCTACAAAATTAAACTTTAATTTATATTATTTATTAAAATATTATATAAAGACCAAATTGGGACCATATACATTAAGTCTCAAAAGTTAGGACTAGGTCTGACCAAGTCTGAGATCAAAGACTAAGTCCTAAAGTCTTGGACTTGAACTTTTCTATTTCCTAAATGGAAAGCTGATTCTTAACAATAATTTAGCACAGGATGTAATTTTAGTCAATAAGAATAAAGTAGATATTTATACATTTGTGAAAGCCATCACACTACCTCTAACTAACACGAATGATATCAAGGAGACACTTTATTACAGGCATGAAGATCCTGGCCGATACAACTTTGATAAATGACAGTCATGTTATCCAGATGTCTGCTGGATAACTCATTGGGAGAGCAACAAAGTGTGGTCCACATGGACATGAGTAAAATGTATGATTGTACCTTCAGATTACCCGTGTCTATTGAAAATTATTAAAATAATAACAATTTAAGTAATGATTGAAATAAACTATGTGTCTTTACATTGTAGCACAAATATATTATGCGATGCATTTTTATGAAAAAGTAAATTGCAAGTAAAACATTTTTTCGATGATATAAATTATACAATATACAAAAACATAAGTTTAAATAATTCAAAGTGAAGTGATATCCTTTATTATTTTATAGTAAAAAGATAACTGGCTTGGAGAAGAATAAGGTATCAAAGATTATTCCCGTCAATTCTAAACCATAAATGGCCTTGCTACTTAAGCTGAATATATTTTTTACCATTTCCCATGTGCCAATGTGTCTAATGTGGTGTACGAATTCTTTTCATGTCTAAAAGTAATATGAAGAATATCATATAGTTTGATTTACCTTGACAATGGTCATGGGTATTATTTATAACTCCAAATAAAAAAATGAATAATTTTTCATTCTTTCGAACAAGAAATTATCAAAATTTATTTGACGTATTATACCAGATAATAAAACTTATTATAAAATTTTTAACTTTGTTACATATTAATACTGTTTTTTGCTAACTTCATTTCATACAAACCTTCGCATCACGTAGTTGCACAATTTGTGATGTTTAATCAAATATTTGAAAGTTGTCCAGCGTCATAATATTTTGCCATATTTAGAAAATCATTTACATTGAAGCTTCTTTTTTTTTACCACGACTCATATGGGCGCTTTGCAGTAGAAAGGGAGGAAACTACCAAAAAATTTTTTTGTTTTTTATAAGCTAAATATTATTTTTTATTAGAAACCCCATATAATTACAGACTTCAAAATTGTTAAAGGCTACAACAGGAATACCGAAAGATATATTAATAGTGATCGGTGAATAAATGGATTCTGTTATCTATTCTCCTATAAAATCCCTGGTGAAGCCTTCAGTATACATTAGTAAAGTGAATTAGTATTAATTAAAAAATTATGAGCTTACCTTTCTTAAAAAAAATAAGAATGTAGGTGAGGATCATCTACGCACAAATGCAGTAACTCCAGAACTTGTATATTAAATAATAAAATTTTTCATTTAGAGAAAATGCATATGACAAACATTTGAGAGACTAGCCTTTGAGCATGCTGTTATAATCACGTTACGGAACGGATCATATGCTCGTAACTCGAATTTAATCCATACCTCTTAACATCTTCGCTATTTACAAGATTTTATATACAAGGATATATTAATAACTGCGATTCTTAAATCTACAAGTTCAATTGTCAAATCAAGGTTTCGCCTAGTTCATGATTACTAAGTTTCAAATTGTTAATGTGATCTGGAATTTTGATGGTGCTGATCCTAAAACCTTCAGTACATTTATCCACCAAGTTTCTATCCCACGTGATTCATAATTTTAGCCGTTAGATTTTAGAATTTTATTTAAGATATAAAAACTATTTCCTATTTCAAATGATTCTTTTAAAAACTTTTCCTTGAATTATTCGACCAAGAATTAACTGATTTGATTTTCAAATAAAAAAATGTGGTAATATCGTCATGTGATATGATGTAATGTTATGTCCAGAGATCACAAAAAGATCTTTTATGTAATTACGTATACAACGCATCAAGCTCTCTCATAAAACGACCAAATTTTTCGTCGCCTTATTCTTCTCCTTTCTACTCTAACATATATCTGATTTAATGAGACATATTTATTTTTGAATTTAACGAACCATAAAAGCAAACGAACAATAATCTGGATATGAGGCAAATAAATATTAGACTCACAGCGAAAGCTTATTCTTCTTCTAACCTTTCTTTTATCTTCTAGCCTTTATCTCGTACTTGAATTAACGGGAAATCGATTATTTTATTTTTCACCACGATTTTTAATGGATGTAAACGATAGAGATTTCAGAAAAATAGTTGAAACTGTTTTTGAAGGGATCCGATGCAAGTATGTGAGAATTAGAATCTATCTTCATCTAACTGATAGGTCTTTAAAATATCACGAGAAAGTATTTAAATTCTTGCATAAATATTATTTATTTTGCACAATAATACAAACAGAGCTTAAGACAAAAGACGTTGATCCTGACAGTGATGTCTCCACCTATATATCAGTCTTGTTTCATGGAATACATATCTCATTCTTTTATTGCGATAGTAATTTAAGAAGTTTAGTTTATTTAATTACATTACGCTATCCGATCTTTGGGTATTTGATTATAATATTGGATTCTTTAACGTACAATCAAACTGGCAAGAGTTCAAAGAATTTGTAGCCATATTTGAAGCGGTCAAAATTATGCTCGCAGCGTGAAATAAGATCCAGGCGATTCCTTAACAGCCTAAAGATGATCACATTCCCTTGGAATTTCTCCGACAACAGATTTTCAGCTTCACCAAACCTGTCGAGAACAGATTAGAGGTTGGAACCGGTTAATTTGTAACCGGTTAAAATAGATGAATCCAATTCCGGCCAAAATTTAATTGCGGCTAGAATTAAGATTTTTATGATTGTCAAAATATTGTCTAACTCCGCCCAAATTTATAGTACTGGCCTTAAGTTAATTTTAACCGGTTAAAGCCGGTTACAACCTCAAGAACAGAAAGCTCTTGTCCATGGACAACAACGCCATCATCAACAACATCCATTTATTGACACAATGATTTCAAATTAATCAAAGATAGATTTTATAAACCAAATCGTCCAGAAATATATTTTGATGGCCGTTTTTACAAAAGGTTCTCGTCCTAATGGTAATGCTTTTAAAAACTTTAGAATTGTAAGGTCAGAAGATTAAACCCCTTGTTCATGATTGTGGAATAAGATTGTTTGGATATTTGACGTGTGGAATAGAAATATTAGATGAATTTATCAAAAGGACTTAGTTGACAACATCATGTGAGGGTGATTACATAAAGTTTATTCCTTTCAAACAATTTGAAAATAATTATTTGTTAGAGGAAGGTGAAAAGTCATTGCTGAAAATTATCTGTTTAGTGAATGATGATCACGTCGATAATGTTAACAAATAGATCTTAGTTAGTCAAGATATTTTATCTGTACTTTTTTTTTGAGTTGAATGATAACTCGAGATAGTGTATTGAGATAAAACCATGTGTAAAATAAAGAATTGTTATAAATTCATTTGCTATTTCCTTTTACCATATCTTTACATAGGCGTGGTTTAAAATTGCATTGTTTTCTTTACAGTTACCAATCAGATCGTTTCTTGCTAGGCTTGAAACTGAGTTATTTATTTAGAATGTATATATTTATTTATATAATATTGCTTGACAATTTAAAGATTACAAAAGGTAACTTTTCATGTAATAAGCTGACAATATATCACTATTAAAGAATTTAAATAAGTCGGGTTGAATTTGTTCAATTTGTTCATCAGGTATGTTGTGAAAATTTAACCTCTTTTGAATTAAATTTAAAATTATTTACCCGTTCTTTCTCTTCTTCCATCTTGAATCATGTTATAATAGTTTGTTTCTGGTCATGAGAAATTCCATAAAGTATTAGACATTTTCTTGAAATTATTATAGTATATCTTATTAATGCAATACGAAACAGAGGAATATCATTAATTAGATGCGCTTAAAAGGTTAAAGGACATCTGATATACATGATTACGAATTTGCGCATCTTGGTATTCATGACGGGAATATTTTACTGAGACTTTCAAAGATCTTTTTTAAAGTAACTGAAGGTAGCAAAAACACACAATATTGATTTCAGATTTTGTAATGTGAACACGAATTTCAAATTCACAAACAACTTGCTCATGATAAGAAAGGAATGATTATTGTCCTGACCTCACTCGGGGGGGGGGGGCAGGCACAACAACTTTATTTAATGGAAGAATGTTTTTAATTTAAGTTCTCAATATGCTTGTACTTAGCCAGATAATAATTGTTGCTCCCGACCACCACATAAGTGATAATCAAGTTAAAAAAAAAATTACCACAGCATCAAAATATCACTCGGTAATGACTTCAGAAGGTTAATTTTCAAAAGTAACTGGTCCATCATTTAAAAATTTCTTCATAAATAAAGCTGGATAAGATGGCTGCTAGCAAAACACCTTTTTTTGTCGCGTCTCTTTTCGGAATACAAAAGAAAAGAAGATCTAAGTGAAGTCAAATTCGAGAACTCATGCCTTGTATGTATTGTATGCTTCTTATATTAAAGATGAAAAATAAGTTAAATAATCTACAGACAAAATAAACAAAGAGTAATAAAAAAAAACTTTTGTGTTACTAAGAAATCTTAATCGTCGGTTATTCGTTATATGTTGAGTATAGAAAATGTATAAGCTTGTACTTAAAAATAATAAAAAGGCAAAATAGAACAATACTTTCGGTGTGGAAGCATCTTCCGTGGGGTCCGTGGGAAGCTAGCTTTATTATACATAGTTATTTAGAATCGTTATTTTTTAATGAGATTTCACGTGGGCGTATTTCATGTAGACCTTACGTCATTATGCATTTTACAATCTTTATATATTATTTTCCCGCGTTTTTACGTTTTTATGACTTTCTTTTTATCAAATTTTTTTTTTTTTTTTATAAAAAAAAATTATTCATATGGGACCTTTGCAATAGAAAAAGGGGAACGAAGGGAAAAAATAATAAAAAAAAGATTTAAAGCTAAATCTGACCTAAAAATCATTTGGCAAATAAAAGTAAAATTGATTTTTTCCGGCAGTTTGTCCCATATATTAAAATGATTCGAAAAACCAAACAAATTAATCAAAAAAATAAAATTTTTAATAATCAAAAAGAAAAAAAAAGAAAAGAAACAAAGAAAAGAAAAAAAAGAGTTCTGAGAAAGTGAGTTTTATTACTATTATTTGATATTATTATGTGTGGTGATTCTGAGAACCTTATAGTTGATACTGAAAATGATATACTTGCGTTGTCAATGATGAGCATGGCAAAGGTCACTGTTTTAATTTGCTAAAATTTATTATTATTGTTAGTCGGAACTCAAACTGATAAGTTTGATTGTTGCAAAGAAGCAAATAGAAGATTGGAAGAAACCAATCAAAAGTTGGAAAGCGAAAATATCTCTATACGTACCAAGCGAGATACTATAGAAAGTTTACAGATAGAATTAATGAAATTGAAAATAAATGGTACTTTAATTAAAAAAATTAGTAAAAGCTTTCATTTTCATTTTTCTTATATTTACATTCTAAATATTTTTAAAAAAAATAGGTGATGATTTATGAGTTTTAAGCAAATGAAAAAAAATGTAGACTTTTTCATACATGATTTAAAATTTCCCTTTTCTGACAAAATAATAAAATTTGGAATTCCATCTTTAATATGAAAAAACGATTGTAAGAATTTTATTACAAGTGCAAAAAAAGTGATTACAATTAATCCGTTTATATAACGTCTATTATAAATTAACATATTACCTAAATAAGAAAAAATCTATAAATACCAAAATACAAAAAAAAAAGAAAAATTTAATCATGTATGTTAATAAATACAAGAAACAATAATGCTTCGATAAAGTTCTGAAGTTCATAATTCACTACCTCAAATCAAGTTCATTCAAGCCCAACGTTCTAAAAATTAAAGTAAAATTTCTTTATGATTGCAAATAATCGACAATAAAAATTATCACTACAGGATTGGCATAATCCGAATAAAAACTCTTATTATGTTCTGAATAATTAATCTTGAATATATAAATATTACCATAATAAAATAAAAAAAAATTCATAATTTAAGCTTGTTTAAAATGCAAAAATATGAATCCGTTTCGAAGCGAAACCTACAACGATTACTACAACAACGGCAACAAAAAGGCTGTAACGTTCAGGGATGAAAGTTAAAATATTCTAACATATGGTTATAAATTTTGAAATTTCGGATTGATTCATTCAAAATCAGAGATATTTATTTTCTTTTTTTGCAAAGTTAAGAAATTATTACATTAATGAAAAATCAAATAAATAGATTATAGAATTAGGCTTGTGCCTAAACCGAACCAAAAGAGAAGCGTGTTGAACAATATCGTTCAATTCATTTGAAAATTTTGATTGGCCGGATCTTTTTTAATAAATTTTTTTCAATACATCATAGACAACGACAATTGGGTCACATGCTTAAGTCCAACTTCTTGGACCACCTTTGCCTAATAATCCAAAAAATAATATTTGCTAAAGGTGTATTTTGATGAATATGTATGTCAAGGCCTTCTCATGAGATTTTTTTTTTTTTAAAGAAGGTGCATTAAGAAATTTATTTAAAATTGTAAGTTGATTTTTTTTATTAAATCCTGAAATCTAAATTATTTTTTATAAGTTTTCCGTAACTATTGAAATAATAATAAAATTGAAAAGACTATGCCATGAAGATTTAATTATTTTCTTAGCGTCAACAATTCTACTTTTGGTTAGTTCAATTGATGTTTCTTCAAAAAGGGATAATTTTTTAATCAATTGGCTGAATTTATTTGCCATCCTTTTTAGCACTCATTATCCCGAAACCAAGCTAACAAACTAAATATCTTAATAATTCAATTATCTCAAAGGCCTTTCCTACGAGAAATTAAACAAAACGATTTATTATCATGATTCACTTGTGTAGTTAGTTATCACGATCAATCCTGATATGAAGACAAGAAGAAGGTTGAAAGTGTAAATAGTAACTTTATTATTCTGTAGAGTTATAAGTCTAATACCAAGACTTATCTAAATCTCTGAGCAAATTTCTGTCGACTCAAGGTCAACTTACAAGTCTATTTACAGTATATAAAATTGCTAACTAGTAATTATTCTATGCCTTTCGATAAAAAATATAATATAAGAGACTATATAATATATGTTATGAAAAGTAATTATTAGATACATGTTATCCAAAGTACATATATCACAAGTGTTACATGCGTTACATGTATTACTTCTATGATAATTTCCGCATTGTGAGGTTACTGAGGTGCAGTATTATTTGCGACTAACACCGGTCACCATATTTTCACCAACTGTATACTTAGGCAACCATTAGTCTCATCACCGATAGCTATTTTGCTCATGTCAAGAGAAGAATAAAAGAGGAAAATATTTATTTTTACCTCAGATAATTATTGAGCGGTCGCTTCAGGGCGTGGCGATGCCTTTCTTTAGGTCACCCTTTCAGGTTGGATCACTTATTTGATATATATATTTTATTTAGTACATAATAGGCAAGTTTCTTTCCTTTTTTAAATTTTCTTTGATTATATAATAATTTATTTTCAGATTCAAGGCGTAGACTTTTTTTAGTAATTATCTTTCGGTTGGTTCGCTTCCAAAAGATTTGTATGGCTAGTGCCGGTGAACGTGTTCAAATGTTGATTATTTGAAACCGAATCAATTAGAATCATCAAAAGTACAGAACAAATTTTTAAGTGTTATGTGATTTAGCGAATTATGTGTCGTTACAAAGATATTTTCTGCTTATGACGAAGTGCCGAAGTTTCATCTACAATTTTGATTATAACTTTTTTTTTCCTGAGAAATTACATTGATCCACAGGATGGAAAACTCCTAAAAATTCCTAGAACTGAGAATCTGTTAAAAATATATAATCTATTTAATAAAATTGAATAATTATACTTTTATTGTGACATTTTTAATAATCTTAGAGATCAAGGAAATGGGAGATTTACTATTAACATCACATTACGGATCACATGATTTACTATGCTTATAAATCGATTTTAATAGCATATTGTAGCCTAGGAGGTAGATTTGCAATGCTCGGTATGTTTTTTATTTTATATATATTTATTTTTTTTTAAAAAAAAAAAATAATAAAATAAAAATGCAAAAAAAATAAATCTTTTCATCTTTATTGCATCACATGATAACAGATATTGTAGTGATCACAGTATTTAACTAATGTATCAATTGGTTTGAGAAAACACATTTGATACATTTAATTGAGATGCGTTCATTCAAGGTAATGAAGTATATTCAATCAAGAACAAGTTATTTTTGCGTTTATTAAAAATAAAATGAATTGAAGCCTGGTTTCTAATCTAACAATAAAGATGTGAGGTTTTTTCCAGCCGGTAAAGTAGTGTAATGCAAGAATTGTAATGGTATATGGATAGTACTTTAGGGGTATACCCTTTATATTCTAATCCATGAAATATATGCCATAGATGATGATAGAAAACCCTTTAATGATATTAATTTCTAGGAAGTTAAGAATCAATGTTTTAAATTATGTGAACGCTTATCATATCTTTACTTCTCAAAAGAAATTTGAACATGTAGAAGGTTATATATTTAGGCGAGGAAATTCGATTTGGAAGGATAGTTATTGAGGCGTTGAGTACTTTAAAATACGGGCCTGATATTTATTAAGGAATCGGGTAAATTTGGTAAGCTAGTTATTAAGGGGTCGCATTCATTTCACCGACAACCATTTTACCGACAATTATTTTACCGACAAACATTTCATAGACAGGATCATTTCACCGACAACTGTTTTACCGACGATCATTTCCCCGACACAATCATTTCACCGACATGTTCATTTCACCGACAAACATTTTACCGACGATCATTTTACCGACGATCATTTTTACCGTTCCAAAAAAAAATTTTGTATTTATTGTATTAATTGCCCGCAGTAAAACAAAAG